CCCCTAGAGACTTTCCAAACCTAAACATTTGTAGTTGGATCTCCATTGTTTTCAGTCTACACATAGATGGGAAGCTGTGATTTCTCTCTGCCATGTTCTGAGCCAATAAATGCTTTAAAAGCAATCCCCTCATCTGCACTGGGAAGGTGGCTCTGTGGTAGAGTGCTTGCCTAGCATGCATGAAGCCCTGGGTTCGATTCCTCAGTACCACAGACACAGAAAAAGCCAGAAGTGGCACTGGGGCTCAAGTGGTAGAGCGCTCGCCTTGAGCACAAAGCTCAGGGACAGCGCCCAGGCCCTGAGTTCAAGCCCCAGGACTGGCAAAAAAATAAAAGTAAAATCCCACTGGGGCATTTCTGGGTCAGATCTCACTTCTGAATTCTGGGAGTAAGACCTAGAATTGTCTAGATTGTCGGGGGCCTGGGTAGCTGGAGTCTGACATGATTCTTGGTTCGTAGGCTGCTGTCTGCCCTTCCCATGATTCTTTTCTTTCATAGGAGGCTCTTCCCTGGGAAATTTACACACACACAAAGTAGCCAGGCCTTGGTGGCTTACACCTGTCCTCCTAGCTCCTCAGGAGGCTGAGATCTGAGGATCTCACTTCGAGGCCAGCCTGGTCAGAAAAATCTGTGAAATTCCAATGAACCAGCAAAAAGCCCCCAAGCAGACATGTGGTTGAAGTGGCTGAGCACCAGTCTCAGGCACAACCATTAAAGACAATGGTCAGGACCTAAGCACTGTCCCTGAGCTGGTCTGGCACTCTACCACTGGAGCCACACCTCCAGTTCAAGCTTTTTTTTGACAGTTAATTGGAGAGAAGAGTCTCACAGGCTTTCCTGCTCAGGCTGGCTTTGAACCATGATCCTCAGATCTTACCTCCAAAGTAGCTAGGACTAAGAGTTGAGCCACCGACATCCAACTTGCCTTGGGTGTCTTCAAATAGTAACTCATCCTGTGTCTGAACATTGTTCCTGTGTCTTAGTGCAAACTTGGGAAGAAGTTTGTCCAAGTGGTTTTCTTTCTTTTTGTTTATTGTTATTGTTAAGGTCATGTACAGGGTTACATAAGTCAGGTAATGAATACTTTTTTTCCTCCTAGTTTTTCCCTCCTGATCCCTCTCCCCCACAAGTTGTATCCTTCATTTTCAACATAATGTCTAGTGAGTATCAAAGCTGCCCACGAGGCTTTCTTAGGCCACTAAGATGAGCTTCCTTTGGAACTAGCTCCAGGACCAAGCATGCATCTGCAAGCCAACAAGACAAAGAAAAACATGTGATTCTTCTTTCCCTTTTTGCCTTGGCTGCCAGGTGCATGGTTCCCAGATTCTATACCAAGAAGTAGTTTCTTCATTGAAGTGCAGATCACCTGTGTGTGTGTGTGTGTGTGTGTGTGTGTGTGTGTGTGTGCACAGTTCAGAAGCTTGAACTCAGTACCTCATACTCTCATCTGTTTGTTTGTTGTTGTTCACGACTAACACTCTACAACTTGCCCCACAGCCACTTGTGCCCAGCAAGGACTTTCTTTTTGTTTGTTTGTTTTAATTGTGCCAGTACTGGGGCTAGAACTCTGGGCCTCTGGCCCTCAGTTGGCTTTATTTTTTGGTGGGGGAGGGGATCAGTTGTGGGTCTTGAACTCAGAACTTGGGCACTGTCCCTGATCCTCTGTGTGTTCAAGACTAGAACTCTATCACTTTGAGCCACAGCACCACTTCCAGTGTTTGAGTGGTTCATTGGAGATAAGAGTCTCATGGGGACTTTCCTGAGTGGGCTGGCTTTGAACCATAATCCTCAGATCTCAGACTCCTGAGTAGCTAGGGTGGCAGGTGTCTGGCTGAGAGTTTCATCTGAGGGTGACCTCTTAGCTTTGGGAAGTCTCAGATTCCCTTCCTCTCTCCCCCTCTCCCTTTTTTCCTCCCCCTTCCTTTCCGCCTCCTACCTCTCTTTCTGGCTCTCTGTATCTCTGTCTCTCTGTGTCTCTGTCTGTCTTTCTGTCTCTGTCTTCTGTCTCTATCTCTATCTCTGTCTCTGTCTCCCTCAGCAGCCCAGGTTTCAAAATGCATGGTTTAGCAGCAGGGTTTGCAGCAATAGCGTCTGGAAACCCAGGCTGGGGCTCTACGTGTAGCCCGCAATCTCGGCTTCTGAGTCTTAGGTGGACCTGTTGGAAGACGCAGCCAAGTTTAGGCAGGTTCCTGTAGTGGACATACTCCACTCCCTCAGCTCAAGGTGACTGCCCAGCTATGCTTGACTGACATTAGTACGAAGGTAGGGCCTGCCAAGGCATACCTCAGATAAGCCGGGCCCTCCCCACTACCCAGTCCTTGTGAGGCTTATTGGTGAAAGACGCCCCCCTACCCACGAGACTCTGCAGATCCTAACAGGGGCAGGGGGCAAAGGAGGGGCAATCAACCACCCCAGACATGGTGGGAGGAGGGAACCAAGTAAAAGAGCGCCTAAGGGCAGCCACTGGGGAGGCTGAGATCTGAGGATCATAGTTCAAAGTCAGCCTGGGCAAGGAAGTCCGTGAGACTCTTCTCTCCAGTGAACCACCAAAAAGCCAGAAGTGGAAGCCTGGCTCAAGTGGTAGAGCACCAGCCTTGAGCAGAAAAAGCTACAGGACAGTAATACCTAGGCTCTAAATTTAAGCCCCAGTATTGGCACACACACACACACACACACACACACACACACACACACACACACGTCCTTGAATCTTCATTACAAAGTCATACGGATTCTGCTTATCTGAGCCTGTCTCCTCTCGTGACCGTGCTGATTTCTGTCTCCATTCCATGTGTTCAATGTACACAGAACCCCAAGGTGCCCAACCAGAGCCACAGGGTTAAAAGTTAAGTAATTATAATCCCAGAGAGCAGTAAACCAAACCCAAGGTCACCTAAGAGTCTGAGGAGGAGGAGGGGGGAGGGGTCAGCTCTGGGCACCAGAGCTGTGACCTTGCTGTGACCTTGAAAAAAGCCTCTGAGATGCCAGCACACAGAAGGGCACCAGGGGGAAATAGGCAAGGCCGATTCTTGATACACCCTCTTTATTTGCCTAGCTCCAAGCCAGACTTTGCCCTTACCAGTCCAGTGGGAGGTCTCTCTTGGGTGTCTCGTTTTCATTCTGAGCACCTCAGTTTCCCCTATGTGTGAAGGGCAGTTAATCATATTTCAGAAAGACTAAAAGCAAGGAAATGTAAGACACACACACACACACACACACACACACACACACAAACTGGTGTGGAATTGGGTCTTCTTGGACAAGTCATTGTACCTCCTAGGCCTCAATGTTTTAGGGTACAGGCCAACAAGCTTTACTCCCCTAAATGTGGCCTGGGTACCCCCCACACACACAGGAAAGGGGCTCAGTAAAGTGGGTGAGTGAATGCCTATTAGCACTGCCTGCCGTTTTCCAGCACTTTCCATCTTCTTCACATGATCAGTTTCAATTTTGTTTTATCTTCTAGATTTAATCATTGTATCATATGTTTGGATTCTTTTTTTTTGGGGGGGGGGGAGTTGCTAGTCCTGGAGCTTGAACTCAGTGCCTAGGTGCTGTTTCTTAGTTTTGCTGCTCAAGGCTAGCCCTCTACCCCTTGAACCACACCTTCACTTCAGGCTTTTAGACAGTTCACTGGAGATAAGAATCTCACAGACTTTTCCTGCCTCCTCCCCAGCTGGCTTTGAACTGGATCCTCCGATCTCAGCCTCCTGGGTAGCTAGGATGACAGGCGTGAGCCACCAATACCAGCTAAGAGTCTGAGTGTGTGTGTGTGTGTGTGTGTGTGTGTGTGTGTTGGTACTGGGGCTTGAACTCAGAGCCTGGGTGCAATCCCTTAGTTTTCCACTCTAGTCTGGCACTCTACCATTTGAGCCACACCTTCACTTCCTGTATTCTACTGTCTTAATTGCCTGCCATTCCTGAATTGACTAGTGCCTGAATTAATGAATATGGGAATATGAGCTTGCTCTCTGTCTCTCTCTCTCTCCCTGCCCCCCAATGTGGCCAGCCCCCCCCCAACACCCCCCCACACACAGCACACGATGGATTTGTGTGTGCTGGTCCTGGGACGTACACTCAGAGCCAACGAACCGTCCTTGACCTTTTCTGCTCAAGGCCAGGGCTCTGCCACTTGAGCCACAGCTCCATTTCCGGCTTTTTGCGGGTTAGAAGCTTTCCTGCCGGGGCTGGCTTCGAACGGCGATCCTCAGAGCTCTGCCTCCCTCGATCCTCAGAGCTCAGCCTCCCTTCCCAGCAGCTGGGATGACAGACAGGCATGAGCGCCAGCGCCCGGCCAGGCAGGGCCCAAATCATGCAACCCGGGCGACCCTGCAAGGTGCGCGGCCCCCCCTCACCCCGCACCCCACAGGGGGACGCAACGCCCCCCACCCCGGGCACCCCGAGGCCCAGCTCCCACGGAGATCACAGGCGGGAGGGAAAGGCCGAGCAGGCCCCGAGGAGCCTGGCACCCAGCTGCCCCCGCGCGCGCCTTCGGGCTCCGGGCGCCGGGCCCGGGGCGCGGGAGCGGCCAGGGCAGAGGCTGGGCCGGGCCGGGCCCGCCGACAGCCGGGCGCAAACTTTCAAAAGACGCGGCGGCCGCGGCGGCCCGCCCCTGCCTGATTGGGTGTAGCAATGAGTGGGGGCGTGGTCTCCGTGGGCGTGGCCAATAGCACCTTAGTGGGGAGGGCATGGAGGCGTGGCCTGGGGTGCCGTGGCGGGGAACGGGGCCTGGGGCGTGGCTTAGGGCGGAGCCTGGGGGCCCTGGCGGGGACGGGGCCTGAGGGCGTGGTCTGGGGCGTGGCCTGGAGGGGCCCGCGATGGAGGCGGGGCCGGGGCGGGGCCTGCGAGCCCGGGCCGGTGGCTCCGCCCCCTCCACCCGCCGCCGCCGCCGCCGCCGCCGCCGCCGCCGCCGCCGCCCTCCCGCGCGCCCAGCTGCCGCCGCCGCCGGCTCGCGGGTGCGGCGACGATGCCCCGGAGCGCGACCCCCGCCCCCGCCCCGGCCCGGGCCCCCGGCGACTGCCCGCCCCGGGATTAGCCACCGGGCGCGCGGCGCCGACCTCGCACCGCAGCAGCGATGGGCAACACCGTGCACCGGACCTCGCCAGGTACGCGGGGCGCCCCTGCGGGAGAGGGGGCGCCGGCTCCGCCCGTCCACCGGGGCCCCCACCCGGGGCCCCCACCCCGACCCCCGGGACGCGCTGGGCGCGGGGTCTCCGGTGCCTCCCCGGGGCCCGGCGGGCGGGCGCCGCGTCCCCGTTACCTTGGGGACCCCCATCCTCGGTCGCCCGGCCGGGGCCCGGTGCACCGAACCGCCGCGGGGGCGACGCGCCCCCCCCCCGCCATTGTTCCAGCCCGGGGCGAACCGGGGCGACGCGGGGTGCGCGCGTTTGGGGGGGAGGGGGGCGCCTCGGTCACCCCAGCTTCCGACGGCCGCAAGCTGCCCGGGAGGGAGGAAGGGGTGCGGGGGGGGTCCCCACTTCCCGTGCACGTGCTGCCCACACTTGGTCCCCGTGGGCGCCCCGGCTGCACCCCTCGGGGTCCCCCCCCCGGCGGCGGGGGGTCCCCACCCCCCCCCAGCTCCATCCGAGTCTCCGCATCGCCCCCTAGGCTGGAATTTCTGGGATCCACATGGGGACATGGATGGGGCAAGGGAAAGGGGTGATGGGGGGGGCAGAGGAGGCCTGAACTGGTGTGGGTCCCCCCCCACCCACAGCTCGGCCTCCTGGGGATCCCCCCAGCGTACCCCAGGGTGAGCGCCTGTGCAGCCAGGCCCCACCATGGAGATGCGTCCAGATGGACGGTGGAAATGCAGCTTAGAGGGGGAAGTGACTCAGGCAAGGTCATGCAGGCCACAGCGGGAGAGTGTGGCTGTGGCCCTGTCTGTCTGTCCGTCCGTTGGTCCGTCTGTCCGTCATCCATCCGTCCACCCACCCTCTCCAAAGCCCACAAGCCGTTTATAACACATGTTGGTGTGAGGCCGGTCATTTTTTACAAAATCCTTTGTGCAAAATAAAGGTGAGTGTGAGTGTGTGTGTGTCTGCGTGTGTCTGTGTGTCTCTGTGTGTCTGTGTGTTACAAAGGTTTAGCTCCATGAAGAAGAAATCTAGCTCTGCTTCGGGTCGAATGTATTCTGAGGGTTCTTGGACAGGTGACTAAGCACCCCACCTCCCATCGGATGGACACCCCTTGCTGCACCTTCTCTCTTCACCCCCATGCTCTATCACATGCAGTTATCAAAAAAAAGAAATCTCCCATTACAAATGTCCTGGGCAGTGGTAGCTCCTGCCTGTCATCCTAGCTACTCAGGAGGCTAGTTCAAAGCCACCCCCAGTAAGAAAGTCTGTGAGACTCTTCTCACCAATTGACCAGGAAAAACAAAAAAAGCAGGAAGTGGAGCTGTGGCTCAAGTGGTAGAGAGCCAGTCTTGGGTGAAAAGGGTAAGGGACAGCACCCAGGTCTTGAGTTCAAATCCAGTACTAGAGGGCTGGGAAGGAGGCTCAAGTGGTAGAGCGCTTGCCTTGAAGAGCTGAGGGACAGCGCCCAGGCCCAGAGTTCAAGCCCGTGACCAAAAACAAAAAAAAAAAATCCAGTACTGGGGCACACACCCATACAACCCGTCTCCCTCTGCCCCAAAGAGATCGATTACCATACTGAACTCTAGGGTCCCCCAGGCCGTAGCTCATGGACAGGGAAACAACTTCTGCCTGATAAACCTCTTGGCAACTTTAGGACATGTGCCTGGTGCAGTCACCTGCAGGCTAGCAGCAGAAGGAACTTCTGTCTCCGGACCTGTTCCTAGAGTCTAGCCTCTGCTTTCCTGTGCACATGGCAGACTAGGGTAGGTGGGGAAAGAGGTGGGGAGACCCAGCCACCCCCATTAGAGGGGCTCCAGGTGGAGGAAAAGATGGCAGGTGGTCTCTGAGCCTCGAATCATGTTGAGCAGACACTCCTTTGCCCATCCTTCTGTGTGTGTGTGTGTGTGTGTGTGTGTGTGTGTGTGTGTGTGTGTATGTATGTGCTGGTTGGGGCTTGAACTCAGGGCCTGGAGCTCTGTACTTTAGCCTTTTCACTCAAGGCTGGCATTCTGCCACTGGAGCCAATCACAGCTTCACAGTTCAAACATTGCCTGATTCATTGGAGCTCAGAGTCTGAGGGAACTTTCCTGCCCAGACTGGCTTTGAACCGTCAGCCCCAGATCCTTAGCCTCCTGAGCAGCTAGGATGACAGGTGTGAGCCATTGGTACCCAGCCTGTTTATTCATATTCTTCATGAAGCAAGGCTTATGCTGGGCTGGGAAGGTGGCTCAGGGATAGAGTGCTGGCCTAGCATGCATGAAGCCCTGGGTTCGATTCCTCAGTACCACAGACACAGAAAAAGGCAGAAGTGATGCTGTGGCTCAAGTGGTAGAGTGCTAGCCTTGAGCAAAAGAAGCTCAGGGACAGCGCCCAGGCCCTGAGTTCAAGCCCCAGGACTGGCCAAAAAAGAAAAAAGAAAAGAAATGCTTGTGCTATTCTAGGTAACATGAATGAATTAATTAATTAAGGTCATTCTGCTCAGCCTTGGACCCGGGAAAGAGTCAGACACAGTCAGGCAACTGCACAGGGCTGGAGATACACACAGTGTGCATGCCACTAGGTCTTGTCACTGTGGATGGCATTCCCTGGGCTGGGGGCTGGGTTCGAGGCTAGCCACATATGCCTAGTGTAAGTGTAGATCCTGTGTGGTTGGGCACGTGTATTGAGTGTGAGGAAGAGCTGTGTATCTTCCCTCGATCACATTGTTACTTATTTCTCAGACACTGCTGTTTATTGAATCTCCTCACACCCCAATGTGGGGGGGGGGGGGTGGAGTGGGGGGTTGAATAATTTCTTTCTTGTCTAGTCTGGCTTTCAAAACAATCCAGTTCAGAAAGCTCTTCCCACAGCCACCCCTGCCCACCCTCCCCGGCCCCCACCCCGCACACGCGCGTGGCTCAGCTGGAGCCACCCTACCCAGGGTCCTGGCTGTCTCTCTCCACACCACTTCCCTGAGACCGCCGAGAACAAACCCCCGGCTCCCCAAAGCCTTGATCACATCTTTAGATGCCAGGTCGCCCTTCACAGAGCCTGCGGCCTGGCAGGAGATCAAAGCCCGCATGTGGCGTTCAAAAACGCTGCCTTCGCGCTCCACATGGCTCCGGTCTCTTCCTCTCCTTGTACCTTCGCTCGCCGGAACAGACACATGCGTGGGGGTCCATGCTACAAGACTGGAAATAGAGAGCTGGCATTTTGCAAAAGCACCTGGATCCAATGCCAGCCGCCCTGCCCCACATATGCGCCTCCATTGGCACACCGAGTACCGGCTTCTCCTCCTTAAAGCCCTCCTGTACTTCCGGCTCCCCCTGCCTGGAACATTCCACCAGCCCAGACCTCCACCTGTCAGTTCTCTCTGCTCCAAAACAGGGCCTCCACCACGGTCCCCCTTCCTTCCCACCCCCTGTACTACACTCCTATGCGTCTGCTTAGTGTGGATATCTGCAGGATCGCTGTCTGTCCATCCATGTGGCCAGCTAGCCATTAATTGTCTTGTCTCCCCAGGTAAGTGTTTCCCTACCTGATCTGTGTCACTGCTGTACATGAAGGCTCAAAAGCAAGGCGAAGGGGTGGGGAGAGAGAGGGGGAAGAGGCATTGTGTGTACTCCATAGGCAATTAAATCCATCGATTAGATTCATTAACCGAATGCATCAAGGCATCGAATTCTCCTGTCTCGCATCATGAGAATCATCGTCCCCAGCTGGGCACAATGGCTCACGCCTGCCATCCTAGCTGCTCAGGAGGCTGAGATCTGAGGATCAGGGTTCAAAGCCAGCCCGGGCAGGAAAGTCCGTGAGACTCTTCTCTCCAATAAACCACTAGAAAACTGGAACTGGCACTGTGGCTCAAGCGGTAGAGCGCTCACCTTGAGCTGAAGAGCGCAGGGACAGCGCCCAGGCCCAGAGTTCAAGCCCCACGACTGCCAAAAACCAAACTATACAAGAATCATCACCCCCATTTTCCAGGTGACACATCAAGGTTTGAAGACGGGCAAATGTCTTGTGTGTCTGGCCCCCCCCACACACACACCACCCCAATCGACCATGCCAATCATCTAGTTGATAAAAGCTTGGATTGAAATCTAAATGTTTGCTTAATTCCAAAGTCCGGTAGAAGCAGTAGCTTCCCGGCCCATTCAGGGGACGCTGAATTCATTTATTAACATTTATTAGGTATCCCACCTGACACGTGATTAGGCTAGGGTTTATAATCAGGAAATACTTTTTTTAAAAAGGGAGGGGGAGGGAGTCCCTGTGACTGTTGCTAGGGGAGTCCCTTAGCAACCAACCACCTCATTTGCATATTGAGCTCAGTGCTGGGCGTGACTGCGGAAACTCCTCTTGCCAGCCACAATACGCAGAGACACCCAGAGCTAAAGACACCCCCAACTCTTGCACGTGATCGAGAAGGTGGCAGGGCGTGTAGGGTGGTGGGAGGGGGTGTCGCGTGTTGAACAAGATCTGTGTGGTTTGTAATACTACTTGGTCCTCTCTCTCTCTCTCTCTCTTTCTCTCTCCCCCTCCCTCCCTCCCTCTCCTTCTGAAAGGGGGATACGAAGCCTGGAAGAGGGGGGGGCGATGAGCCCAGGGAGAGTTGTTCCCTTTCCACCTCCCATCAGCACATTCCAGTTCTTTCCTTTGGCGCCTCTGCGGCTGTCTGCCGCGCTGATTGGCTAAAAGGCAAAAATTCAAACGGGCAGGTTGGGTTTAATCATTAAGTTGGCCCAGCCAACGGCTTGTCAGCGTTGGCTCAGTGACACCTGAGTCCTGGAGCTCCCGGTGCAGATCGAGTGCCAGCCTCAGCTGTGTGCCCAGCCGGATTCCACGCCGCCTTCTTTGCCAGCTCAGAGCAAGCCTTTTATAGGGGGCGGGGGGGGGGGGGGGGGGGGTGCAGAACCTTTAGTCAAATGGGGAGTGGGGGCTCTTGGGGTATTTATACCATTGTGCTGGGGCTGTACAAAATGATCAATACAGGCAGACAGATAGATCTATCCCAAGCAGCTTGGGAAAAGCATCCATGGCCCCACGCCCAT